AAGACTGCTGGATCTCAGCAAGAACCGCATTAGGACCATCAACCCAGATGAGTTTGCCAGCTTTCCCAACCTTGAACACCTGGAGCTCAGTGAAAACACAATCTCCACTATTGAACCTGGAGCATTCAACAACCTTTATGGTTTGCGGACACTGGGGCTGCGTAGCAACAAGCTTAAGCTGATCCAGCTTGGTGTCTTCACGGGCCTGAGCAATCTCACACAGCTGGACATAAGTGAGAACAAGATCGTCATCCTGTTGGACTACATGTTCCAGGATTTGTACAACCTCCGTTCTTTAGAGGTGGGTGATAATGACCTGGTTTTCATTTCCCACCGGGCTTTCCATGGCCTAAGTAGTCTTGAACATCTGAGTCTTGAGAAGTGCAACTTGTCCTCTGTGCCAACAGAGGCTTTTACCCACCTCCACAGTTTGATTACCCTTAGGCTGCGACAGCTCAATATCAATGTCATACGGGATTACTCCTTTAAACGCCTCTATCGACTGAAAGTGCTGGAAATAGCCAATTGGCCGTATTTGGATACGATGACCCCAAATTGCTTGTATGGATTAAATCTCACCTCCCTGACCATTGCAAATGCCAACCTAACCACAATTCCTTATGTAGCCCTGCGGCACTTAGTTTATTTGCGCTTTCTAAATCTTTCATATAACCCTATCCATACCATTGAAGGGAATAAGCTCCATGATCTCCTGCGTCTGCAAGAGTTCCACCTTGTTGGAGGCAGACTGGCAATGATTGAACCCTACTCTTTCCGTGGTCTTAACTACCTGAAGATTCTAAATGTATCCGGAAATGCTCTTAGCACTTTAGAGGAGTCTGCTTTCCATTCAGTTGGCAACCTTGAGACCCTTGCCTTGTACGATAACCCCCTGGCCTGTGACTGCCGACTGTTATGGGTTTTCCGAAGACGCTGGAGGCTGAACTTCAACAGACAGCAGCCCACCTGTGCCTCCCCTGAGTTTGTCCAAGGCAAAGAATTCAAAGACTTCCCGGATGTTCTGCAGCCTAACTATTTCACATGTCGCAAGTCTAGGATTAGGGATCGCAAACCCCAGCAGAAATTTGTTGACGAGGGAGCCATTGTTCATTTTGCTTGCCAGGCAGATGGAGATCCTGCTCCAGTGATAATGTGGCTATCCCCACAGAAAAGGGTTATCACTACCAAGACGATTGGAAGGCTCTCTGTGTTGCCAGATGGTACCCTTGAGGTACGGTATGCCCAGATTCAAGACAATGGTACATATGTGTGTATAGCTAGCAATGCAGGTGGAAATGACACCTCTCTTGCTCACCTGCACATTCATAGCTACTCGCCTGACTGGCCACAACAGCCAAACAAGACTTTTGCTTTCATCTCCAACCAGCCCACAGAAACTGGTGCTAATGGCACAAGAGCCAATGTCCCTTTCTCGTTTGATATAAAGACACTGATCATTGCAACCACAATGGGCTTCATTTCTTTTCTTGGTGTTGTCTTGTTTTGTCTTGTACTGCTCTTCCTTTGGAGCAGAGGTAAAGGTAACACCAAGCACAACATTGAGATCGAGTATGTGCCACGGAAATCAGACGCTGGCATGAGCAGCAGCACGGTGGACGCTCCCCGCAAGTTTAACATGAAAATGATTTAACAGAGCTGTGGGATTTATTAATTTTGAACTTAAAAATAAGACAAATGGAAAAGAAGACATTTTCTTTCCTCTCTTACAAACCTGTGGATCCTGGTCTGTTAACATAGAGTAATATGTTTTTTCCTGACTGAAGGACCAGAGAGAAGGGCAGTTTCTGACTTTCACAAGCGAGAGGGCATGAAAACACACCCGGTGCTACAGGACACTGGTGATTTGTAAAAGGCTTCTGGGGGCATTAACTGATCAGTCAGATTTGTCAAAAGCACTTGTGGATTTATACTGGGAAAAATATATCAGAAAGGAAAAACACTTCAAACCGCCAGAATGCTTGGGGCAGATCATATTTTGGCCATTGCTGTTTATTGTCTGTGTTTTTTATTTAGTATTTGTTTTAATTTCCAGGTTTAAGTGTCAGGTTATGAATGAAATTTGTATCGGTTGATGGGCACATTTATACAGCATTGATGCATTTTAAGTACATCATCATTACAATACATCAGTGTTATATTTGTGAATGCAATGTGCTACATATGGTCTTTTACCTTTCCTACACTGATGATTGTTCTGTGATCCATCAAGTGTATATCTGTGTCACATTACCTGACGAACTTTGTTGAAAGAGTATGCCCTAGAAATTAACAAACATACACAACACAGTATAGGACAATGATGACAACGGGAAATACAAAACTGTTAGCGATATGTTAAACTTGATCAGAATGTCAACAGCTGATTCCTAGCCAACCTCTTGACCAAGAAAGTACAATAAATGGTACTGTAAAACAGTTTACACTGGTCATTATCTGACCTGAAAACTGAATGGTATACATAAATAAGTGCTGTGAAACTACACTGAGTCAGTACCTTTACTATTAATAATTTTCAGTACTTCATTGTAAAAATCAGCAAGACGTTATGTAAGAATAATTGCACTGTTAGAAAGATAAACAAACTATTTAGTTTTGAAAAGTAGCATACAATCATTGTTAAATGTGTCTCTTATAGGATTTTAGAATTGGGGAAATGCTCTTATCTATCATCATCAGTGTCACTCATCCCTAATTTTCACGTGCACACACATGGATTGGGGGCATGATACAGAGAGAAATGTGAGATGTTGTTGATATGATGCTCCGTACTAACAATAGATGCAGCATCTTACCTATAGTGCTGCCATTAAACAGAATAGTTGGCGTTGGTACCTTGATTCTAAAAGCGCTTATTCCTGACCTTTTAAACTGCATTTCAAAAACTATTATATAATGGTATTATTTTGTGCTCAACATGACTACAAGGAATATAAATTGTGGTGCTCACATGTTTGGATACAATGTGCCCCTCACTGTTTGTTATTTTTTCTCGATTGTTTAATGAAATCAGTGATTTACTTATGCCGATGCCCCCTCCCCCCATTGAAGCCATGGAAATATTACCTTCCAGATCATTGACAGGTTTGCTGTTCCCCAGAAATGTGCATTGTTTGTCAGGAGAAAAAGAACTGCCACATTTTATGCTCCCAGTTGGTCCTGCATATAAAATCTGAGGTCAGAGCCTTACCTTTTCATGTACACACTGTGGACAGCTGGGCTTTGCAAATGTGCATGAGGATAAAGGCTAAGTTATTTGTGATGGATGGCGTTACAGACAACGACACAGTAATGGCCTGGAAGTATGGACTGAATATGCAGATGGTTAGAGTGACACAGATGGAGCACCCATGGAGCAATCTGAAGCAGCTTTGGTGTAATCCATTTTGCATAAAGGAAAAAAACAGTTGATATGGCTCATGGTTCTCCCTCTTGCTGATTATGAATGCTCTCTTTGTTCAAAGTGTGGCTACTGTACCCAGCCTTTTTTGGTCCCAAGTGATCCCACAATTTTCTTTTCCTTCTTTCTTTATTTTGACCCTGGACTATATTGACCATGTAGTCCAAGCAAACTTTTTACAAATGCTACTAAAAAAAGAAATCTATGGAAAATACATTCAAATTGTTCTGTGCAATAAAGCTAATATGCAGATTTTTTTTTTTTTTTTTTT